CAATAATTCCTTAATACTGTTTGACTCATAACAAGACATTTTATCAGTGAAATAATGATTTGTAAAAAACAAATCATTAGGAAAATTAAATCCATTATTGCTGATATTTCTCATCCTTTACATGCCGAGTTCCAGTTTCTGCCGTCTGGCATCAGGCTCAGACGGTTCCATCTCCCTTTGGTTCCTACAGCCAAATCTCTTTTAATGCAGGACTCGCACCTGATTTAGTGTTTGTAGTGACCGTTGGTCACTAATGAAATAAATACACTGCTGTGCTCTTCATGCATTGGTTTGTATTTCATGTCCTTTTGGTTTGTTTTGTTGTTTTTTATTTTTTAATCTTTGATACTTTTTAGTTTTTATACTTGCTGTAACATCATTTGCTCATTTGGGACACGAATAAATCTGAATCTGAATAATCAGCCAGTGAAACTATATTAACCTGCAGCAGTTCAGAGGGCTGCAGGTTAAAAAGCAGAAAACACTTTTATGTCTGTTTTATGCTTTTGTTTAGTTTAAGGTTGATTTTTATTGTACAGTGCTTTGTGATTTGATGTCTGTGAAAAGTGATTTATTAATAAACTTACTAACAATTCAGCATTACACAGAAACTTTAACCACCTGCTGCTCTGCACAGATACATGTGGTATATTTTTATTTTCACAGCAATTTCCAAGCCTTTAAAAACAAAACAATAGACAAATAAATTAGATATTTCTAAAATAATTCTCTGCTTGAGGACAAAGTTTACAAATTGAGTTGGTAGTTAGGAGTTTACAGGAATGTAAAAATGCAGGTGAATTTAAATGCCAATATAAGAGAAATTTCTATTAAAAAAACACAAAATAGCAGAAATGGTTGAATCCTAACAAACACAAAATGATGGAAAGAGGGAGGATAAAAGTTTCCATTTTCATTTTCTGCTGTTTGTTTTTCAGACTCAGGAGAAATGTCTACAGCTGCTTCGAATTAAGATTTGTAATTTAAAGAGACAGGAGGCTTAGGCGTCAGGATTGGGATGTTTGAAGGAGACATTAGCATAATAAGAGCCTCTTCATTTACACAGCAGCTCCAGCTTCCCAAAGAGCTGCTCCAGTCTGCAGTCACACCCATTAAGCCGGCAAAGCCCCATTGTCCGGCCCGGCTGTGGACCCTGCCGCCCCTCGCCACCAGATTGGGCCGGGTGAAGGGTTACTGTCACACAATGGAGCGCCCCCTCCTCCTCTATTTGAAATCAATCACACAGCCCCCCGTCAGCCGTGACAGTGGGCCTGGCCAGGTCCCCACAGAGCCCCATGCCGTTAACGTTCATCCTCCTTCACTGCAAAAACACCAGATCTGACCAAGTATTTGGTCTAGTTTCTCATGCAAATGTCTCAGTTCACTTAAAATATGAACTAACTAACATACAAGTAACATTTTAGCAACATGTAGGAGCTGCTCTTTAGTCAATAAAGTTCAGATTATTTATGTTTCTCTGATAACGTGAAAAATGTCATAAGTGAAGTAATCTGCCAGTGGATCTGGAACTGGGGTTGCTAGGTAACGGACTGGGCTGAACTGGGGTTGCTAGGTAACGGACTGGGCTGAACTGGGGTTGCTAGGTAACAGCGCAGTGCACACAGATTGTGAAATAATCTGTCAGTGGAACTAGTGGGTTTTTCAGAGCAGATTAAGGAATTATTGACCTAAAACAAACTCCTATTTCTTCCTGAAGAGTTACCTGTAAGTTAATTTTATTTTATTTTGAGTGAACTAGAAACTACACCAGAAATACTTACAAGTTTTTTTGCAATGTTTTCTTGACATAAATCTCAAGAACACAAACAACACAGAAAGTTTACATCTCTGTTCAAATGGATAAATTATCAGAAATTGTGTTTGTGGTTCTGGGGATTCATCAGAAGTAATTTAATTTACATTTCTGAGGTGAGCTCCTTTAAAAATCTGACAAGTTTTCGATATCAGACGTTGACGAAGACCACAGCAGATTTTAACATCTCAAAACAACACTGCAAAAACACTAAACCTCACCAAGTATTTTTTGTCCAAATGTCTCAGCACACTTAAAATAAAACGAAACAAAAGTTCTGTTTCCACTGGCAGATTACTTTATGTATAACAGTTTGTTTTCCCAACTTTTTAATCAATATTAAGGAATTATTTATTTGGAACAAGCTCCTATATCTTGCTGAGAAGTTACTTGTCAGTTAGTTTTGACTTATTTTAAGTGAACGATGATATTTGACCAAAACTACTTGGTAAGATTGAGTGTTTTTGCAGTGAACAAGCCGTCGTTATCGTCACAGTGGAGTTTTGTTTAGCAAGAAACTGTTAAGTATCAACAGAAAATGAAGCATGGAGGTGGTGCACCACTGATAATCGTCCTGTGTGAAACATGCACAAATGTAAGTAAATTAAACAGCTTCATATGGAGACACCTGACGTCTCAAAGCAAATAAATATCTTTAAATTGTCCACGTTTGCAGGAAAGAAGCTGGTCATGGAGGCGTGTCCGCCACCATTGGTCTTCCTGTGTGAAACAAACTGAGAATGGAGCATTTGCTGTCAGAATAATGAGTGAAAATGTATAAATACAGTCCACTGAAATCACAGTAATGTTTAAGCTTTTCACAACAATTTATGCTTTTATCGGTCAATCAGAAAAATGGAAAACTTGATTGATTTTGACTGACTGCTGCCAGTGCTTGCAGTAACAGATGAACGGGATTCCAGTGCTGCTAAAATTTGCGAGCACTGTATTTGTATATAGGCGGAAACTCCAGATGTGTGTGGACTTTTCCCATTATTTTATTTTAATTTTCTTCTTCTTTGAGCAGAATGTTGTTGCCTTAAACAAAATTAAAAATGCAAACTAAAGTAGTGAGTATTTATTGGTATTTATGGGTTTCACGGGGGAAGATCATTCATGGCGCACCACCTCCAACCTACATTCTCCACTTAAATCATCCTGTTTTTTCTTAAATATGTGACATTATCTTCACAAAATGAGTTTTGACTCACTCCAGTCTACTTCCGTCTCTGTCCTTCTCATATCAGCCGTTAGCTTTAGCCTCAGGTGAGCTAATCTGAATTAATGCTAAATGAAGTTTCCTAGTGTTATTTACTACAGGTAAGATAGTAACTGCTTAGAGTGAATCTCAAATCCAAAAGACTCAAAACCTCAACCGTTTTTGTGGTTGCACTTTCTTTGAGCTGAAGGTAAAATAAAAATTCAAGATTTTAATTTTCTCAAGTAAAACTCTCGAACCGTCTCCAGCTTTTTTTCCTTTCTCAACCTCTAAACTTCGAATACGTTTGGTACTTTGAGTTCAACATCTTCTCTCATTTTCCCAACAATAACATCATTTTTATGTCATTCAGAATAATTTGTGAAAAGCAGTTGTTTTTCGGTCACTGATATGTTCATAAAATATTTTATTACTCTAATATATTCACAGGAAATCATCAGTTCAGGCACTTTGCTGCCACTACAGCAACTTCTTAGAGTGAGAGATCCTGAGATTTAAGACTTCTTCTTTTTTAAATAAGCAATACAAACATAAAATATTATTATATAGAGCAATTTATATCAACAATCAATTTCTTAACTTTTTATCATAGCAAAATAGTAATTTGTCTTTAAAACGTCTTCAGGTCTGCAGCCCTGGTTTTTGGGTTGGTGAAGCAGCTCTTTGTCCGTCGCCTCTCCAGAGGCGAACTGACCGCAGAAAAAGCACAGATTGAGTTTTGAGTTCCAGCGTCTTTCCTGCAGCGCCGCCTCGTTTCACCGTCAGCAGCCGGTTTCAAGCCAGCAGAGTTCAGCTTGTCCTCCTGAGCGCTACGTGCGTTTTCCTCCGCTGGCCTCAGTGCTCCGTGTGGATATAAATGCCTACTTCTATCTAAGGGCTTCCATGAAAAGTCCAATGAGAATTACACCTTTAAGTTGGGAAATGCAACTTCGACCTTCGGTGAGGCGCCAGCAGGAAGCAGAGTCTATCGGAGAGCCGTTTTGGGGTCGATCCGAGAGCGGACGTCCTGATAGGCCAGGAGGCAGGGGTCGGTGGACAGGGCGTCATGCGTAAAAACAGAGTCGTTGTCGGAAGAGCAGGAGCTGGAAGTGTCCTCACAGGACGGCGAGTACTGCTCAAACGGCGTGGACAGGTCCAAGTACTGAGGGGTCAGAGGAAGACTGGTCAGGCTAGAAATCAGGAACTAATAATATGAGTGAAAACAACAAACACATAAATGATGCAAATTCCAAAACACAACTTAAAGAGGAAATAAACTCAACAGAAAAACTGATAACAGAAACTAGAAGCAAACACAACAAAATGCAAATCCTGAAATCTCAAACTAAATGCTGCAAACACAGGAAATGCACCAAGTAAGTATGAAATACAAAAGTCCTCCAGGCCACTAGGGGGAGTCAACCAACAAATCCTATTAGTTTATGGTAAAGACAGGATATGATGATTTAAAGTTAGGGGAAAGATGGAGGAAGATGGTGAAGATGTGTCATATGACACACGGTTTTTTACAGTATCGTTTAACATCAGGATATTTACATTGATAGTATCAGATGCTCCAGACTCCCCCTAGTGGTCTGGAGCTCTTATGGATTTTACAGGATTTTTCCTTTTGGTTTTATTTCCTGAGGTTGCAGCAATTTCTGTAATAAATAGTTTTATTATCAATTTTATTGTTGTCACAATAATCCTACCAAATATCTTAATAAAACCTTAAATGCATATCACCCAGCCCTTATCGCAACATTTTTAGTTTGCAGAGTTTTTCTGCTGCTTTTGTGTTTTTCAGTTCTCAGAGACATAGTCAGACTTTGAACGGTGTGTGAAATGAGCCCCATAAGTGTTTTAAACCACTGGATCATTTGAAGAGTTTTGGACTGGCTCAGTTAAAGGTTGGTACTGTAGCGGGTCTCACCTCGTCAGAGATGGAGAGCAGCGCTTTGTCCAGCTCCTCCACCAGCTGCTTGAACGTCGGTCTCTGGGTGGGAACAGCGTGCCAGCATTCACGCATCAGCATGTAGCTGCAGGGAAAGGAACATTTCACCACAACATTACAAGGAGTGAAACGGCTAATCAGATTAATTAATTACTAATTTAGCAATCGATTCATTGATAATTGGAGTATAAAGACTCAAAAAAGGCATTTTATTAAGAGAACACAAAGCCGAAATGAACCCAAAACTGTACAGAAAACATAAACATTTTGCATCTAAGACTAAAATAAAAAAAGTTTGTCGGCAAATATCTTGTAGACCCGGTTCTACTGGACCCAGAACATCTGTTCCACCTCCAGCTGCTGTGGTTCTGAGTCAAACCAACCTGTTCCCCTCCTGGCCTGTGGGGGCGCTGCACCAAGAACCACTGAAGGAAACGACACAAAAACCTCTGAAGACACTGAGAGCAACTTCCTTCTTCACCAGATGGAAACAAGATGGCGGATTTTAGCGGTTGGAGGATTTCTCTTTAGGCTGAAGACCAGGAGCCATTTCTGCTGCTAGCACTAGGCTAGCACGTTAGCTTTGGTTGGATTTAGCCAAAATGCCCTGCGGTGTAGTTCACTTCCTGCTTTTGGAGCGGTCTCTGGTCCACTTGGCGTTCACATTCAAACCGAACCCAGACCGAGGTTTGGGACCAGAGGTCAGAGGTCGGTTAGCGTTCACACCTCACCAAGCGGACTGGAGTTTCTGGACAAAACCCAAAACCCGTTGCGTTCGGACGGAGGAGTTTCTGACTTACAGCTCGTGTGTGCAGTTGGACGGCTTGTCCATGCGGTGCCCCTCCTTCAGCAGCTTAAAGAGCTCCTCCACCGGGATGCCGGGGTACGGCGAACCACCCAGCGTGAAAATCTCCCACATCAGGACGCCGAACGACCATCTGAGAGAGAGATGGTCAGACCACCATGTTAGCTCCGGTTCCATCAGAACCCAGCGGCTCTGGAAGAGGACAAGATGGACTCACACGTCGCTTTGGTGGGTGTAGACTCTGTCAAACAAAGCTTCTGGTGCCATCCATTTCACCGGCAGCCGGCCCTGCAGAGACACGTTAGCCACCGAGTTTCACCAGCCAGGATCGGTGTGGAGAATTAAAATGACTTTCCTTTCTCATTGTCTAAATATTCTCCTCTCCTGCATCATAAGCCTCCTTCTGTCCTTCCTCCTCCTTTATTTCTCTTGTTTCCTTCCTTCATCACTACATCCAGTCTTTGCTTGTTTGCTGCCTTCCCTTCTTTGGATCCCAACTCTTCCTAATTTGAAGAGTTCTGGACTGGCTCAGTTAAAGGTTGGTATTGTAGCGGGTCTCGCCTCGTCGCGGCGCTTTGACCAGCTCCTCCACCAGCTGCTTGAATGTCGGCTTCATAAAAATGAAGCCAATTTATTTAAGTGAATCCGGGCATTTTTCCCTCTTCCTTATTTCTTGAATCCACATCAAAATAAGCAGAAAACCAACAACTTTCTCCACCTTTCAGCCAAACTGATGAACTTTACCAAGTCCCCCTATCTTTTACAGGAGTTTTTCCTGGTGAGAAAGTGCAGCAGCACAAACTCACGTTGGTGGTTTTCTTGTAGTAGTCGATCTGGTGGACACCTCTGGCCAGGCCGAAGTCTGCGATCTTCATCACATTGTCCTCCGTCACCAGGACGTTCCTGGCTGCCAAGTCCCTGTGGATGCACTGCAGAAACACAGACAGGAAACAGAGTTGACTTTATGGCCAGCCTCTGGGTTCTGCTCCTTTAGCTGCTCGTCTGCAGTAACAGGGTTTCTGGAGGTTTCACAGCTCAAATTTAAAACTTTTTAAGACCCTTCTGAATAAAATTTAAAACCTACATTTCCATGGAAATGTATGAACTTTGTCCAGCCAACCGGCAATAAATTTGCACTTACCCATGATACATGCAAAACAGCTAGCCAGCTAGCTAGCAAGGTTATATTAGCAGCCAGTTAGCAGTAGCCTCTCAAAATGCTATGAGACGTCCGAGTCAAACTTTTCACTGAGAAAAGTCCAATGAGCAAAGAACTACACGCAACATATTAGATTTAATCGTTCTAGCTCAAAAAAACAAATCCTGTGATTAACATATTTCAGGCTTTATTTTTGTGAATTTAGGACATTTTAAGGCCTTAGTTTAAGGATGCATAATCACAGATTTTGATTCTGTTCTGACTTTCACAGAATAAACTTCACAAGAGGGCAGAAAAATGTTTTTCTTTCTGCTTTTAGAGTCATGAAAGCTTTCGGATAAGTCTGGGTTGTTATTTCAAGGCCCATGGTAAAACGTAATTGCACATTCTCTGCCCAAATGAAAAGACTGGTAGTCTAAAATCAGCTCACAGGGCCTCATTGTAGTGAATTCCACAAAAATAAAATTGTCTTTATATAGAAATCCTGGAGTTTAGACCAACCCTTCAGGAAGAGGAGAAAAAAGAAAGCAGTGTTTGCCCACATTCAACGTATGTCATTAAGTTTATTTTGGTTTTCATTGGAAATAGTCGCGGGGTTTGTGGGGAGCTGCAGAACGAACCGCTCTGGTTCTGTGGGTCTCCCCATAATGGTGGGTTAGTTTCAGACTCTGGCATTCAGCAGAGCCAGAAACTTGGTGCCAGACGACGGCTCTGCTCCGCTCGCCTGTTTGCTAACAGATTTATGGCGACGTTAGGAAGGACAAAGCCCTGCAAGCCGAAGGGACAGGCAGATGGAGAGTAAACAGGACTGAAGCTGCGGCAGCTCGCTGCTCAGGAATGCCGCTCCGAGACACCGGCTGGCACAGACAAAGAGACGTGTTGATAAGACGCACTCACAGACAGAGTGCATGCTGGGAAAATGAAAGGAACTGAAAAATGGGGTGAAGGGGGCAAAGAGTAGAAAGAGAAAGGGAGGACAACAGCTGGTCCCGCCGGCGGGATTCAGAGTCAAAACACCGTTTAATGAAGGAACCGCGAGGCAATGAGCCATCAAACCGCTTCACATCCATCTGGGATGCTAAACACAGTTAGCATCACAAACCATAGCAATGTCTTCTCTTATTTTTATGGGTTCGACTATGAAGGAGAATGTCATTAAACAGATTGTGAAGCACTGTGAGTCCCACCAGAGTAATCAGATTACTTAGACCATCAGATGTGTAAAAACTGTTGATTCATGTAAGTTTCACTATATTCTCACTACAAAAACAATAAATCTTACCAGGTATTTTTTGAAATAAGATAAAACTGACTTACAAGAAACTTTTCAGTAAGAAATGGGAGCTTATTTAAATATTGATGAAAAAGTTATAGTTCCTTTTATTTCACTTATAGCATGAGGAAAATGTCTTTTTATAAGTGAAATAATCTGATTTTTAACCAATATTACTGACTTAATTAAAGCTCAGATATTTGTTGAAAAGTTAGTTTTGTTTAGTTCTAGTCCCTCGAGATATTGACTCTATAAACTAGGCTAAAATGACTTGGTAACATTTTGTGTTTTTGCAGTGTTATTTGTGCAGCAGCCATTTTGAAACTTAACTTTGAACTGCATGGAGAGCTGAGACTCAAACTACAACCACAACAAACGAGAGATGCGCTGAGAAACTGAGCAGTGACCAAAGAATGAGCCATTTTAGCTCAACCTGCCTTGACCAGTAGCTAGGCTGCAGCTAGCACAGCTAAGCGCTAACAGGCTACACTCACAGCAGCCTGTTACTCAACAAAGAAAATGTGTTTTTGTTTCAGAGAACGATGTCAGAAGCAGCCAGCATGTGTGCAGGAAGCCATGTGAAAGGAAATTATTTGCTGCAGTCACGGCTGCCATGTTTTCAGGCAGCTATCAGAGGGACAGCAGAATCTAAAAGAATAAACTTATTACTGCAAAGTTAATCTGGATTATCCGTCTTATCTTCTCTTTCTGTCATGGATCGTCCTGCATTTGGAGATGTTGGCTAACTCTACAAACTCCAGATAATGCACACAGAGAATAATGTTTACAGTCGCTAATGCTAACTTTGCTAATTGCCAACGCAACATGGTAAAGTCATTTCCAATAGAGACCTCTCTCTCACCCGAGTTGTGCACCGTCTCTTCAGCTCTTAGTCCAGTGGAGCCCAAAGTGGTTCTGGAGGCCCTGTTTGAGTTCTCTCCCTGGTTTAACGCACCTGGATCCAGCGATGGCTCGTCAGAGGCCTGAGAGGAACGCTGACCTGCTGAGGAGGAGGTCGTTTCCACCACCAGGGAGAGAATAAAACCTCCAGGACCCACTTTGGGCTCCACTGTCTTAGTTTCAATAAATGATGTTCAGAACAAGAAGTTTAGGGAAAATAAAGTAAATGCTTTGATTATAGTGACAGAAAACTTAAACTGGCTAAAACCTGCTTAGACAGTAGGTCAAATAGAAAACAACAGACCTCAGGAATCAGCCACAAAGCTCATTTTGTGGATCAATATCCTGGCAGGGAAACAGTTCCTCCTCCAAGCCACTTAACAAGCTTACAGTCCTGATTTACCGTTTCATTCAAGAAAAAGAAAACACCCTAAACTGAAACTCTGAGCGTTCTTCCTACAATAGTCAACACGCTGGCTGTGCCACCTTCACAAATTTACCAAAACTATAAAGATGCAACAAAAGAAGAGACACAACTATAAATCAGGAGCCAGGTAATCATCCTTCTTCAGATTGACAGCTCAACGTTTAGCATCCATAAAGTGCTTGTTGAAGGAATTACAAGCACTCAGATGTCATTCCCATTCTTTCAAGTGAACCCACCCTTTTAGAGGCCAGGTACTCCATCCCTCGGGCCACCTGGTAGGCGCAGGAAAGCAGGTCTTTGAAGGTGAGCTGCTCCTCAGGCACTTTAGTCACATCAAAGGTGTAATCCATGCCTGGAGGCCGCCTGGCCCGCAGGTACTCCCTCAGGCTGCCTTTGGAGGCGAACTCCACCAGCACGTACAGGGGGCCTGTGGAGGGGGAACAAAACAGGATGAAGGGCCGTTTGTTGTGGCTGCAGCCTCAGGGTTTGGGATCACTCAAGTTGAGACAATAAATTAGGTTTTAGGAGACAGGAAGACCATTAGAAGCTCACCATCCTGTGTGCAGACCCCCAGTAGGTTGATGATGTTCTTGTGCTTGTCCATTACTTTCATCAGCTCCATCTCTGAAATGAGGTCTGCAAGGTCTTTGTCTGTGGCGTCATCTGAAGAACAGGCCATGCCGTTTAGACCGACAGAAAGCCGAAAACTCATCAATTACTTTCATTTCTTTATTTTCACCTTTGAGCATCTTGACCGCAACAGTGGTGGCCTGATCCGGGAAGTCCTTGTTGATGCCAAAAGCTTCGGCTCTGACCACCTGACCAAAGCAGCCCTCTCCAAGAGGTTTTCCCAGAGTCAAGCTAGAGAGAGAAAAAATGAGAATTGTACAAATCCATAATTTGAACCTTTGGTTTCTTAAACTACAGGTTGGAGGGAGCCAAAAATGTCCTGCAGGCCTTTTATTTTAGGTCCCCACATGATTCGATAGCTAAACCTTTTACTGAGTCTGGATCCCAAAAGCCAAATGAAACCTCACAACCTTTTAGGATTTCAGGACACAACCTTTCAAACACACCTCACTGCTACAGGATATCAAATGTGTTTACATGAGAAAAGAAGTGCAGATGACTTACTTCTCCCTTGGGAACTCCCAGTCTGGATCGTACGGCAGCTCAAACTCCATAACTCCAGCTAGCATCGGCGAACAGCCGGACGACAGTCGAGCCACCCTCATCAGAGATGCACTGGACTTCCCAGACGAGTTGGACTCCACTGAATACTTTACAAAAAAAGACTAAAGTTTAACAACCTTCCTTTTGGATCATACATTTGTTTCTATAGACGTAGCCGAAGTATCTCCGCGTTTCTCCCAGTGTATCGTCAGCCTGGCGGCCCTCCAGGCTTGGCATCATTGGTTTAGTTCAGATGTTGTTTTTACCCACCAGTAACAGTAAAGATGGCCGAGCTGGGTTTAGCTGATTGAGTTGTCCTGCTCTGCCTGTTGGCCTCACACACATTATTTCCAGATTATGATTCTTGCTCCGTCACCTCCAAATGTTTGTAACTTTAAAACACGGCAGAGTGCTCTAGCGCCACCTACCACTAATAAACCTGCTAATTAATAAGCCTAATTATGCATTAAGTTCTTTATTTATGTAAATAATGGTAGAGATTGGACCAGTATAGATAAACAGTCCAGATTAGGTCAGTTAGCATCGTACCTGTCTGCGCAGAGGGAACTTGGAGAGCTTCTGGACAGGAAGTGCGTCGAAAGGCTCCCTCCGTGGATGGACCTGCATCCGGCACAACACCACGATGATGACGGCCATGATCAGAGCCACGAAGCCACAGGCGTAGATGATGATGTCGGTGTACTTGGTCTCCATGGTCTCCATGGACTCGGCTGCTTCTTCTTCTGCAGGAACAAGAAAATGGAGAGACTTGACCAGGAGGAATTAATGAAGCTGAGAAACATTTCAAACAGCTGGAGGCGAAAATGCTGCTGAGGTGATCCTGGTCTGAAAGTGTAAAAGGACTAAATCTGCTCTACAGATGAGAGTTTTATGGATTTTACTCAAGACGTCACTTTTGGACTCCTCTGGCAACATTCAGATAAAGAAAGAGTCTCTTTGGGAAATTGACCTTTGACCTTGTTCATTTTGTTCTGGACAGCCAGTTCCCAGAAGCATGTTGGTAACATCTGAGTAAATAAGACTCTGTTATGTCTATGTGATAAAAAAGTGACTAAAACAAAGCAGCGTTTCCTACAGCAGGTATATTTGTGGTTTATACACGAAGGTCGTTGTTTTCTTCCTTCCTTTGAACCTCCGTCTGTCCTCCAGACGCCTCATTTGGAAACATTTTCTGGAAAACTTTGACTTGATGTGCAAACAAACAGAGACTGCTGTCACAGTTTGGCAATCTTACGTACATTTCCGGTTATATGAGGTGTGCAAAACATCTTAAGAAGATTTAATAGAGCTTGTTAAGGAATGTAAAATCAATTTAAGTTACTGAGTTACTGGTGCAGCTCCAGTTATTTCCCTGGTTTCTGTTATCAGTGCCCACCAATCAGGACTATTCTACCTTAAAGAGACAGGAGAAGAAGAGGCTGGGCCTGCAGCAACACACATTATGAAGACAGTCTGCATCTTTTTGCTTATATTGGTGCAATGCCCTATTATTAAATGATATAAGCATAATCAGAGCTGTTCAGTGAAATGAAAACTGATTTAGTTCATTTTTACCTGAAAGCACGGTGAGCCAGGCCGACTGGTAGGCAAAGCCGATTGAATTGCCAGCCAGGCAGGTGTACTCTCCTGCATCGTCCAGGGTAACTTTAGACAGGTAGAGCACCTCTACCTCGGACATGTTCAGACTGCCAGTCTGCCAGGCATAAATAACAGAAGGTGAGCATCAAAACGCCGTGTCTAAGTCTGATCCTATTTGACTGATCTCTGTCTGTTCAACGGTGGACGCAAACCTTGAGGACCTGAACGTAGGGAGTCCCATCAGGACTGTAGCGGCTGCCGTTCCTTTCAATGTGTTTGAGCCACTGGATGTGAGGCTGGGCGTCGCTGTAAACCTTGCAGTGGAACTGAACATCGTTGCCCACCACCGCTGTGGTGTTGGCAGGTAGACCGGCTTGCAGGATGGGCCTGTGGGGGGAGCGCTCTGCATGAAGACAAAGCAGGAGAAAGGGCTGAGTAAAGGAAGCAAAATGTCTTCTTTGAATGTGTTTGTGTTTGGGAACAGAATAAGAAATGTCAATTTAGGATCAAAACTGGTTCTGTTCGCCTGCCTCTCTGGCAGCGGTCTCTTTGATCTGCGGTCACTTTCCGATCTCGTTAGTTTTCTCGTTAGTCTCCACCTCTTGTCCCTGTCAGCAGGGATAGAAACTGACCCCATGCTCAACATCCACCAAAACAAATGAACAAATAATTTGCAGCCCTCCTCAGTTTCTTGTCACCAATCAGGTAGAAAACTGGACTGGACGCCTGGCCGTCCTTGTTCTGGCGGTCATCGTCAATCCCAGGCACCCCAGCTACCTTCTGTTCAACCCTCAAATTAAATCTTTTAACAAGTGCTGACTAAAGCTTAGGGTACCATCAGCCAGATAACTATGCAAACCCTGTCTGTGTTTAGTGGTAAATCTGAAGAGCAATCGTCCATGTCCTACCCAAAACATCAAGAACATAGCTGTGGGTGATGGATCCATATCTGTTCTCCACCACGCAGGTGTAGTTCCCTCTGTCTGAGGGCACAACGCTCTCCATCACCAGGCTCCAGTGCTGATGTCTTAGCTAGCCAAAACAAAAGAAGTCAAATATCATAAAGAGTGAAAAGAATAAGAGAAACTAAATCTATCTCTTATAAGAAGGCCAAAGACTTCCACGAACCCTCACCTTAATTCCACCGATGCGGTGCTCTCCTCTGAATTCACGTCCGTTTTTGAGCCAGCGGATTGTTGGCATTGGACTCCCCATGGCAGGGCAGCGAAACTTCACAGTGTTTCCTGCAGGAACAGCATACAGCTTCTTCTCCATGCGATGGGTGTGGGTCCAATAGGGCCCTGTGAAGACAAAGACAAGACAAGCTAAGTTGTACGTTTTTGAAGGGCAAATCTACGTTGAGTCCCAGGTTTTGAGCGGAAAGCCCGCGCTGAGCCTAAAGTCTTTGAGGTGCAGGCCCAGTCAGCCATCAAGTCTTTGTTTTCGCAACTTGGGTTGCAAAAAAAAGATGGGAAAGTCTGTAACCCGAGTCACATTTTGTTTTAGATTTCCCAAATATTGTGAAAACAACTACACACCTCTAGAGAAGTAAACTTGGTCCTTTTCAGTTTCAGCAGATGAATCCTCCAAGCCGTTGTCCTCATCATCGTCTCCTGATCCCAGCATGTCTGATAACAAGACAGAAAGATGATATGAGAATTCACTAACCGGATAAAAATCTGATTTTCTGTCATGAAGAACCAGACGCCGGTTCATCTTACCTGCCACAGTGATTGTGAAGTTCCGCACAGGATTTGTAGTTCCTCGAAGAACACAAGCATACAATCCTGAATCCTCATACGTCACACCTGTGATCTCCATGATGGCACCACGCAGCTGGATGCGGGGTGTGGCCAGCAGCCTGACCCCTTCCTTGTACCAGCTGACCGCCATGCCTGGCCAGGTGTTCGTATCGCAGCGCAGCTTCAAAATGTTTCCCGGCTCCAACAGAAGATTTTCAGTGGCGTCCTCACTAAGGTCCTGAGGAACCTCTGTCAAATTCAAGAGAAGTGTTAGAAGTGCCGGTCCAGGACTCTGTATTTCTTTTGGTAGTTTTAATCCACTGCCACACAGCATTAGCCAGTCTCTCGGCTCAATCTTTAAGCCATTCCCTCAGCTATGACCTTGCACCTCCTCAGCATTTTCTGTCCCCACATATGCATAAGTACAATGGAACTACCATGGAAACCGAGGCCTTAATGACCCGACCCTCCTCAATTCAACCCCTCCTCCTCTTCAGCAACTTACTGGGTGGCTGAGAGCGATACGGCTAACACAGCAACCGCCCTCCCTTCCTTTATCACTCCAGAAAAGAGGTCAAGAAGAGAAACGAGCAAGAGGACCGGCTGAAGCTAATGAACATGTTGGGGTGGTGAAGGATCAGTGAAGTTAAAGTGAGTCAACAGAGAGAGAACCTTTGCTCAATCAACACAAGAAACTGAATTTTTCAAGGGTTTGTGCCAGTCATCTTTTAGCCTCTTATTTCTTACAGGATTTCATATTTGCCCATCTTTCTGACCTACAGAAGCGAAATACACTCTGGACAGGACTCTATGGTAAACGGCCTGCACTTGTACAGCGTTTTATCAAGTCCAGAGGACCCCAAGCGCTTCACACTGCAGTCATATCATCTGTAGACGTCTCATGTCGTCTTTCTGTCTGGTTATTAGACATTCACACCCTGATGGTGGAAAGCAAGGCTACCATGCAGCAGCATCACTTCTGACCACCACCAGCAGGATGAAGTGTTTTTCCCGAGGACACAACAACTCAAACCGGTAACCTGGTTACAAGATGAGCTCCTACCACCGATGCCAGGACAAACAATCATACACACTCACATGCCAAGGGTAATCTACAGACACCTATTAACCAGCATGCACAACATGTGAGCTCCACGTAGGAAGAGCTGCAGCTTGGTCTTAATCAGTTAATCAAAATGAAATTAAAAGTTATCTGGTCGGATTTCAGCAGCGGTCACTTCTCTGGATTTGATGGCACCTAAGAAAGGAGATACTGTGGTTTAAAAGGTTGAAATTTCATCAAAACAACAGCAGGTGAACACAGACGTAGCCTTAGGATGTTTCCCCTTCTAATAGACCCGGTTCTACTGGGTCCAGAACTCCATCATCCGCTCCACCTTCAGCTGCTGTGGCTCTGAGTCAAACCAACCTGTTCCCCTCCTGGCCTGTGGGGGCGCTGCACCAAGAACCACTGAAGGAAACGACACAAAAACCTCTGAAGACACTGAGAGCAACTTCCTTCTTCACCAGATGGAAACAAGATGGAGGCGTCAGATTTTAGTGGCTGGAGGATTTCTCTTTAGGCTAAAGACCAGGAGCCATTTCTGCTGCTAGCGCTAGGCTAGCACGTTAGCTTTGGTTGTATTTACCCAGAATGCCCTACGCTGTGGTTCACTTCTTACTTTTGGAGCGGTCTCCGGTCAGCTTGGCGTTCACATATCAAACCGAACCCAGACCGAAGTCAGAGGTCAGATAGCGTTCACACCAAACCTCGGTTTGGTCCTCCAAGGAAGTTGCAAGGGGGCAGTTTCAGGCCTGGCAGCATTGGGGGGCATCGCCCGCCCACAGAGTTAGCCGTGCCCCCCTTGGACTGGAAGCTGTTTGTTGTTTTTACCTTAGAATGGCCAACGTCTGTGATTCCTCTGTCCATCTGATACACTAGGGCCTTCCGCACTTCCCATATCTGTGTCCTCTGTCACTTTTATCAGCCACTAAAACGGTTTAATTGTTAACACGTCGTGACCTGTTTTTTCAAGCCGCCTCTAAACCCAGCATGAGCGCTACGACGCTGGCGCTGGGTTTACACCTGTGGGCAGTGAAGGAGACCTGCTGGTGGGCGGAGCTACAGGTGTGTTAGAGTCATGGCAGCAAAACGCAAAGAGCTTTAAACAGTTTTTCCCCCAAACTAACCGACTGAGGTGAGTAAAGCTGCTGGATGCAGGTAATGTTAGCTAAAAGACGACTAGCTAACACCAATACAGCACGTTAAGCTTGTTGACTAGGAGCCTGTAGGCTACCGATGTTGTTTATGTTCAAAAGCGTGTAGTACTTGTTACACTGAGTAACTTTTTTGGAAAAAAGGTGCTTATATGACTAGTTTTACTGCACTGTACCTTTTTCTTTTACTTGAGTAGTATTTTTTTTGCTATGTATTCATTTTGCCCCCCCCCAAAATAAGCCGATGCCCCCCGTTAAACTCATCTGGAGCAGTTTTTGGTTTGACTAGCGTTCACACCTCAATAATGAACTGGACTTTCTAGACAAACGAGCTGGAGTTTGGTAGACTGGATTGATCTGAATGACTTAGTGAAGAGTTCCTCACCAGGCAGGACTTCCAACCATGCTGACTGCATGGCCTGAGCTGTCCGCCCCCCATGGACGCTTTCGGCCATGCAGATGTATTCGCCTGCATCTTCCATGGTGATATTGAGCAGATGGAGGGTGCTGACCTTGGAGCCATTACCTTTCAGGGTCTGCAGAGGAGATGGTCGTTTAGGGAAGGGACTTTATTCTTGGCCAACATTACAAATGAAATGGCAGAGCTTCTGCTGTAGATGAGTTCTTACTGTCAGGGCCTTGATGTGAGGCGGTCCGGCTCCGGTTTGTCCTGAGCTGCTAGATTCTGTTTTCAGCCACTGGACCTTGGTAGATACCGGCCTGTGGACTTTGCATAAGAGTTTCGCCTGGCCACCAACCACCACTGTGGTGTTTTCTGGATACCCTGGTATGATAAGAGCCCTGGACGCACGGAGATCTGGAGAACACAAAGAGGTGGTAATGGACAGCAGAAGTAAATTTAGAGGAAATCTTTGGCTCTAATTAGTTTGGCTTCTGAAGACAGGCTGTTCATAACACAGTCTGAATTAGCAGCTACAGATTACTGTGGTTTCAGATCACCTCACCAGTATTAAGAGAAAATGTGACAAAAGACAACCTGGAGATTTCCCTTTACCAGGAAGAGAAGCGCACCATGTTGCTAACAAAACTCTGACATTTAATGCTGCCAGGAAGCAGTGATAGAGTGCCCTGATAACCCAGCTACTATGGTGTCACTATCGGCTACAGGGGGCCGCTTGTCCTGAAGCGTCTCTGCTGCCTGGCCGGAGCCCTCTGCCGCTGCTCACTCACTCAGGACCAGCAATTTTCCAGGGCAATTTTCTGTCTGATTGCATCCTGCGAGCACTAAGTGAAAGGGCAATCTGTTCCCTTGTGGGAGTGAAGTGCTGCCTTTCTGTCTAATCACCCAGAGTGCATGCAGGTAATGCTTTCAGGAACAAATAACATGCTTACAAGCTTGTAAGTGGAAAATCAGACATGGAGGATTGGTCAAATGAAGGAAAACACATTCAAAGAAATTGTTTTTTATGTATGTTTTGTAAGAATTCAAAACATGACATTTGTTCAAATTATAAGAGAAGAGTGGAGCCAGAATCATCTGGGTTCCTACAAACTTTGAAAAGTCTGGGATAGAAGTGGAGAATGAAGCACCAAGTTCAGCCCTGCACACACCCAGACGATAAAACCCAACCTGTCGAATGTTCCTCAGACGTCTGGAATCCCATCACATCTGTCTGAAAATATGAGTCTAAGATCTGAACCACACGTTAATGAACTTCCCCAGACAGGGACGCTGCCCTGGAGTTGAACTTACGATGGGGTGTGAATTGTCACCCAGAGGCGAAGGGGCAAACAACAAGAGAACCAACACAAACAAGCCGCCCAATCAGCCGGCCTGGCAGGAAGAGACTCAGCTGGGACAATGAGACCTTCATGTCCCCACAGAATCGGCACAACAACAGCAGCGCTCCGTTTGATACCAGAGAACTACAAAACACGTGAAAATCTTCAGCGCTGCTCCTGATTTGCCTTAAAAACAGAAGAAATCTGTGAATTGTCTTTAACAGTGAATGTCCAGGATCTCAGGAGTTAATAAAACTGACAGGAAACAGTTCTGCTAAAGATTTTTATAAATAATAATTCAGCAGCATCCAACCTTTAATTCAGGTGCATTTATTTCAGACAGGGCCTTTTATTTGTTTTATTTTAACAGGGCCATTGTACATTACAAAACTGGAGTACATTTCCAGTAAAAGGCTCAGAAATTTAAGATTAATCTCAGCATATCTAGAAAAAAAAAATAGTGGAAATTTCTTAAGTTTGAGAAGTCAAAAATTTGCTAGAAAAAACTGAGTTGAAAATTTTTGACTTCTCAAACTCAGAAATGTCCTTGTTTTCTGTAGAAATTCTCTGAAATTGCTGCAACTGCCTTGAGTCACAGAACGCAGTGATTAAGTTTGCAGGCGGCTCAAACTATTTATGCAAGATTAAATAATGCTGCCATGACCAAGTTGAAGACCTGTGACTAATGTGTTTAATGCTGATTTACATTTTATAAAAAATTTCAGATGTTTTCACGATGCACCCAGAAGTAAAAGTGGGATCTTTTCCGGACATTTTAATGTTGCTGAAACCAAGTGTTTGTTGAGGAAAGACCAGCTCAGTAAGAAGAGCAATAATTTAAAGAAATAAATGAAAAACTTTGTGGGATGGGCGACCCATTGTTCCTGCCTGATATTCATATAAAGTGAGAGCTGCGGCAGCTGATAAATCCCAGAACGGTTCCTGTTCCGGTTCCTGTCCGACGATGTGAAGACGTTTCTGTCATCAGGATGCCTGAAGCCTTTTCTGGAGGCTCCTCTGTCCTGACAAGCCTCAGCTGGCCACGGCGCTTTACATCTGTCATCTGTTTCCACACATCCTGACTAATATATCATCACTGTGTTTTAATCAGACTTAAAAACTAACACCGTGAAAGATAAACATCCCCCATCGGCTTTAATCTGAAAGCTGCTGGTTGGCAGGGAACAATTACGACTGATTAGGTTTTAGCTGAACAGAAACAGAGTAACTGATGCTTTATAGCGTCTGCCTATAAAGCATCAATCCTCGGCCCGAGGATTTATACTTCCGCGCCGCTGGCCTCACACGCATCAGGCGGCAAAAACACTCCGCCAACGCACGCTTACGACCCATTTGCTCCGACCAACCCGAGACTCAACCTGGAGACTTTTCTGCCATGCTAAGAAAACTAAGGTAACACTTTATTTGAAGACTGACATGACACTGTTATAAACATGACATAACACCTGTTATAAAGATGACATAACACCTGTTATAAAGATGACATAACACCTGTTATAAACATGACATAACACCTGTTATAAACATGACATAACACCTGTTATAAACATGACATAACACCTGTTATAAACATGCAGGGATGTTCATGAATGTTATGACCGCCGTCATGAAGTGCCATTCTGTAAATAATGACACTTTTATGCAAAGTTGCATTAAAAGTCCATTAAAAGTGGCAACTTTGTATGATTTTGTAAATTATGATAATTTAATGCAAAGTTGGCATTTTTAATTAACTTTTAGAGCAACTTTGCATTAAAAGTGTCATTATTTGCTGAATGACACTTCATGATGACTGTCATAGACATTCATAAAGACTCCTTTATGTTTATAACAGGTGTTATGTCATGTTTATGACAGTGTCATGCCAGTCTTATTCACACCCCTTCAAATAAAGTGTTACCTTAGTTTTCTTAGCATGGCAGAAAAGTCTCAAGAAAAATAAACTACATGGAATATACCAGAGTTAACAATCCCTCCACAAATTTTACATTTTGACTAAATTTAAGGCCAACTGAACATTTTTCTGATGAAGTAAAGATATGTCAAGGACTTTCAGACGTTAGGGACAGAGGCTCCACGTTTTATGACATTAAAACCACAAACTTTAATATTTTTATATGACGGATCGACACAAAGTTGTACAAAATGGTGACTGAACAGGATAGTTTTCACAAGCATTTCTACTCTAATACCCCCAAATAAAACCCAAACAGCACCAAGCAGAGCAGAACAGCGGCTCAGGCATCAACTGGTCTCACCTTTGGTTCTGATCTGGGGAACGCTTCGGGCCGCCACTCCGTCCGCCAAGCAGAGCAGGAGGACACACAGCAGGCGGCCGCGCTCCATCGTCCCGACGCACCACCTGAGTTTCACGGGGAAGAAGCAGGAAGCCTGCGAGGGGCCTCACGCATCGGGACCTCAGGGAGCCACAGGAAGTCTCTAAATCTGGATCCTGCAGGAATAAACCAACGTGTTTATTCCTGAAAGAGACACGAACCGTCCTGAACAAACAAACAAATGCCTGAAGAGAGCCAGTTCAGATGTCCATCTGTCCTCCTGTCTGTCCATCTGTCCTCCTGTCTGTCTCACATTGTCCAGCCTCTCTGGCGTCAGGCTGTTTCTGTCTCACTAAGTTTTTCTTTCTTCTTTTTAGTTCTGGAGTGTAGAGGAACTTTCTGTCTGTCTGATGAAATGTTTCACGTTGTGGTGGGACTTTTGCGGCGGCCATCTTGGGTCCCTGCTGGAGAGGAGGCCGGCCTCAAACGCAGCTCTTTTATAGTTCAGATATGAGCTGCAGTTTGACTGGTCGAAGCTCAAAGTAATTAAAAGAATAAAAATGACTTGTAAATTCTGCATTTGCATATGTAAAATGTTGGCCGATTTTATCGGAGAAGATGGGGTTTAACTGTGATTGGCTGATTTAGATGGAGGAGGCGGAGCTTAACCAGGTGGACCGCTTGATGATGTGATTTGTTTTATATTCGTTGTGTTACCACCCCCACGCCACTAGAGGCAGTAGCAGGCCCGAAATGTTGCAATGAAAGAGCAGATTTAGAAGTAAATAAAAGAGAGAAGTTCAAAAACATACCGAGAGAGAAACTCCTTCCTAAAAATGAAGATGTATTACAGATTTTAAAAGGAAAATAAAAACAGGAAACCGCGGTTAATATAGGAAATAGCGCCACCTTCACTTTCGGAGTGCAATGGTCCTGTTTCCAAATAAGGTATAAGACTGACAGCGGTCCGTCCCGGCCCTTCCTGTTTGTTTTTCTCGTTTTGTTTGCCTGCAGCCCAGGCCGTCTGGCTTCTGTTCCAGCTCTGAGTGACGTTCTGTCTGTTTGTCAGTGGGTGGCGCTCCGCCAGTGCAAACTGGGAAAACACTGGAAACCTGCCGGGAGCTGCAGTGGACATGTCTTCTGACTCACTCTGGACTATTTACTCAGAAAATAAATACCGTATTTTCTGGACTATGGAGTGCACCTCACAATAAGCCGCATCCACAGCCTTCAACTTAAAAGCTGCATCATATGAACTTCTTCCTGTTTCCACAATGAGGGGGAATGAGTTTCTCCGTCGGGCCTGCTGCTAGCATCTGCTTGTTCTAAATGAAAATCAGTGTTTTCTTCTTTGACTTCCAGTGATTCACTTCCTGCTAAAGAGCCCCCTGGTGGTTGAAGAAAAATCCACAGAAAAGCTGCACCGGACTACAAGCCGCATGGTTGGAAACGGGGAAAAGCAGCGGCTTATAGTCTGAAAATATGGAGCTAACATAAATATAAAAGTAGGGCTACGGAAGACAATAGAGTCTTCCTGTTGATTGACCATCTGAGTTTTCACCTTTAAGATGTGATGATGTCTTTAAATCTTTTTGTTTACAATTCCCATAAAAGTGAAAAATTTGACTGAAATTTTGTTAATTTTAAATATTCTTTTTGGCTAAATTATTAGTTTTATTTTAATCTATTAGAGTCCAAATAGAAACACGTGTGGCCCTGAGCAGATTTTAATTTAAATTAATAATCAAATTACTGTTGTTTATTACATAAATATCAGAATATAAATAGTGCACTGCAAAAACACAAAAGTAGCAGCAAGTATTTTTGGTTTAGTTTCTAGCTCAAACTTGTTAGTTCACTTCAAACAAGACAAAAGTAACTTACAGCAAGAGATAGGAGCTCAGTTAAAGTAAATAACTCCAGAAAATCGATCAAGCCTGAGTGCTACACAGATTCTCTCACGTATTTCACAACCAGCAGGCACTGTGCCGTTGCCTAGCAACCCAGTCAAGCCCGGACCGTTTCCTAGCAACCCAGTTCTGGTTCCACCAGGAGATCATTTTATGAACATGGCATTTTCCCCAAGTTATTAGTGAAAATATCTGCATTTGGAATTAGACCTTTTTCATCAATATCAATGAAGTGTTGACTAAATACAAACTGATATCTCACTGAAAAGTTTGCTGTAAGTTATTTGGTGTTATTTCAGGTGGACTAAGATATTCGGACTAAGAACTGAACCAAAAAACTTGGTAAGATGGTTTTTTTCAGTGTCAAAAGTTTTATTTCTCTGATTTAGTCATTTGATGTCCAAAGTTTTATGACGACACAAACATTTTTGTTTTTCTGGTGTTTCTATCATGCTAATATGATATTAAAGTATTTTGTAAACTTGTATGAACTTTTTCTAAGTTCCATCCAATGTTTGAAGAAAATAATAAAAATAACCACAAAAACACCTAAAGATCAGAAATTTTATGATATGTCAAACTCAAATAAATATCAGTATGTGTATCAGCGATACTGGCCCTATGCTTACTTGGTATCGGATTGATAGTAAAATATCGTCAGCTTACTAAAATAATAAGTCATTTTTTGCGAAAAGTTATTTATTTTTTTTGCCTGATTTTTTTTCTGCTTGATTTTTGTTAAAAATGAAGATCAGAGACGATATGCAGTTTGGCACACCTGTAGCAGTAGCAGCCATGTTTGCTTATGCCTTGGGCCGGCCTGTGGTTGTTCAGCAGCAAGCACTTCAGAGGAGTTCTGAATCTCAGTTACATATTTAGAGAAACTCCTCATGTCTACGGCTGGGCATGGTGTAGGAGGTGTCTTGCTGTGGGGTTGTTAGCCCGTTAGCTGTGCAGCGAGGTGAAGTGAAGTCGTCCTGACAGACAGACCGGCGGCGGGCTGTCAGGGAGCCACCGGAGCAATGCAGGGATTTTTCTGTTTTTTTGTTTTTCTGCGGCATGCTGCGCCAGCTGAGCTTAGGCGCCAGACCCAAGCGGCGCACACATGCCGCTTGGAGAACAAGCTTTGCTGAATGAAACGTATTCTTTATCAATTAGGGCCTGGAAAACTTTCCCCCCCGTCTCTCTCTCCTGTTGCTGCTAATTCCTCCCGATGGCGGCTGAACTGCAGCCGGAGCCAAAAACACTTCCACTGTATGCTGCTTTCTTTTTATTATCCACATCTAAAACCGGAGGGAAGCGGCATCGCTGGCGTGTTTCTGCCACATAATTCACACTTAATAAACCCGACCAGTCAGCCTCCATTTAAATACCAGAGCTAACGCTTCCTAGGCTGCTGGCCATTTCGTACCGACCGTGTGTCAATTCTTACACTAAAAATGCGATTTATCTGAAGTTGTACCAAGTTTTTTTTATCATTTAACAATGGTGAGACTCTAATAATAGCATCTTTATTATCATAATAAATCCTGTTTAAACATTAAAACAGAAAATCCCAATCCGATTAACTGTTATTCTGATTTGTTATGTACTTTGTAAAATAATATTTATCTACTGTATTATGAATGTCAACTTTCTAAAAGAAATGACTCATGATTGGGAAAGTGTTTGTGTTTTAATCCAATTTTAACATGTTTAGCTCCGGCGCTAATGCTGAAGTTAAACTTGCTAGCAAGCTAATCTCCTTATCCCCCAGGTATCTGTGGTTAATGGATGGTAAATTTTAGTTGTTGTAAGAGAAGTGGTTTACATTCCACCATGCTGGAATAGATTTTAAATCAATCAATCAATCAAATTTTATGTGCACAGCACATTTCAGCAGCAATGAATTTCAAGGCGCTTTACATAATTAAAGAAAAAATAAGAACAGCAGGTGACACTGAATAAACAGTAAAAAAAGAAAAAGATTAAAAAAGATTTTTTTAAAAAGATAAAAACATAAAAAAGCTTGCATCCAACTTTAACTAGATTAGCACCAGAGCTAATGCTAAACTCAAACATGCTAGCAACCTGAGCTTCTTATTTAGAGACGGTTAAATAACAAAGCTGTTATTGTGAAGGGAAAGGTTTACTAAGCTGGATAGTTTCTACCCAACTAAGCAACAGCACAAAAGCTAAAGTCAAGTTTGCTATTCTTTTAGCCCTGCAGCCATTGCTAATGAACTACACTCCCTACTTGTGGTTTTCAGGAAACAGCTTACATTCCAACATTTTTGAATAGATTTAAAATGTTTTTAGTCCAATTCAAGTTTGCTAGCAGGCTAAACATTTGAATGAGCAGCGCACCCTAGCTGTTGGAACAGGGAAATATTGTTTTACTATTTCAGCCATGTTTTTTTCACAAAACTACCAATTTAAATTAATTTTAAATGTTTGTTGGAATTTATCAAATTTATTTTGCTGTTCAGTTAAACTTTCTTATCTTTGCTTAGAAATAATTAAAATCTACCATCAACAAAATCTACATCAGTCTTAACTAAGTTCCTCCAGTTTGTTTTCTGAGTTTCCTGCTCCGTTCGCATGATTTGATGTTCTTCTTCTCTCTGCTGTAACTTAATCCGGGTTTTACACCAATAAAAACAAGTCGCTTAAAAATGATTTTATTTCGCTGCGACTGCGGCCTGACCGAACAGGGACGGAACCAGAACAAAGTGATCCGGTAACAGTTTGCAGCGAAATCCAAAGTTTTTCTCCATAATTCACGAAAATATCCAACGGCGTGTAAAGGTTTATTTACTTACACACAGCGGTTTGCTGGCAGCTACGAAAAGGATTAAGTTAGGAAACATCCGGGAACGAAATGACTCGGAGCCACTGACACCTGCGCGCTTCTGCCAATCAATAACTTCGATCAGTCCGGCGGATCATCGGACCCACCGGTGATCAGTTTAAAGCAGAAGGCAGTCAGAGTTTCTTTTTTTTTTTTTTTAACTCTTTTTAAACGTTTAATCAGATCGTCCCAGAAACACCGGGAAGACAAAAAAAGTCATATTTTCTGTTGTTTTTGTTTTTTTGTTCCTGTTTCAGGTTTGAAGCTGCGGTGACAAAGTTCAAACTCCGCTTCTCTGTCAAACATATGAAAGGTTCGGTGTCAGCTGACTCAGTTTGGCGTAAATCAAGGTAGAAAAACCAAAACTAGTTTCATTCTCCGCTTCACAATATAAACTAGCTAATAAATATTCCATATATGGAGCTTTTTGATATTTCCTCTAAAACCAGAACTCAAATTTAGGAGTTGGTAGAAATAAATATGTAAGGTAAATGAGCTTTTAGTGTAAAATGAATGAATGAGTTAAATCCCGGCTCCGGGGCAGTTTGTACCCACCTCTGCTCCCGGTTTGCCCCTGCAGAGGCGGGTTGGGGTAAATCACTGGGAGTCCCGATCCGCTCCGGGGAATAGTGAACTCTTCATTGGGAATCTCCTTCCATGAAGCAAGTCCGTGAATCCAAATCAAACTCAACTGGACGCGTTTGAACAAATCAAGAGGAAAAATTAAAAACGCTCCAGGAACCGGGAGCAGCGGCTGCTCCGGAGCTGCTGGCCGGGCAAGGAGCTCTGATCCCGGGGCCAAAGTCCGCGACGTGTCGGGCTGCTCAACCATCCATGGAGAGGAAATCGGCAGCAACCGAAACCGGACAAAACCTCCCTGCTGCTCCGATATGAGGACAGCTGGAGAGAAACAAGTCCGTTGGGCTCCTGGTGACTCTGCGCCTTTACGCAGCGCTCCTGGAGGCGCTCCGTCCCTGGACCAGCGGCTCCTGGAACCGGGTCGGAGCTCAGTCTGCAGCCGAACCGTAGATCCGGTCAGTCTGAGAAACAGAGAGAGACGACTGCGACCTCCGCGCTGCAGACCTGACACAAGACTGGCTGCTGGCCGGAATCACAACAACAATGGGAGAAGAGGAGGAGCAGAGAGGTGGGGGGGGGGGGGGTACTCCAAGGAGAGTACTCCACCACCCCCAAAGGATCCACTCCCAAACACTCAGACATTTACAGATTAATCTCTGAAAAACAAAAAAATCTGAGTTTCAAAAGCTGAATATTTACAACTTTCTGAAATATTCAGTTTCAAAAGTAGATTTTTGGAAATTCAGTAATTTTCAGTTTCACACGTCGAAATTGATTTGAAGGTTTTTTGAAAATCAGGAATTTATATTTTTCTATAGTTTCTGAAATGTTTCTCTTTTCCATCTAAAGCGGTTCTAACCTCCCACTTCCTCCAAACATTACTTGAACTATGCCACAGCCCTTAAAGCAGCAGTGTAATGAAGAGCCTGAATCTCATTTTAGAGTCGAATCGTTTAACAGAAAAACTTTGTTTCAATTGCAGAAATGCTGTTGGAGTCCAGATAAATCCCAATAATCATTTCTACCGTCTGAACGCGCTGAGGTTCATTTCAAAGCTTCTACAAAATAATTAACATTTAAAGGAGAAGCTGCATTTGTAAATGTTGCAGTCTGAACTAAACCGCTGATAAAACTTTTCACTGATTCTTGAAGCTTTGTCACATCACAACCAGAAACGTCTTTGGATTTCAAAAAGATTTTACTCATCATACCAAAATATATACATAACCTGAAAAGTGTGGTGTGCATTTAATGAACACCCAAGTCAATATAATACAAAATAATTAACATGTCTGCTGCAGTTACAGCTGCAGGTTTCTGTGAAAAGTTTCCCACAGCATGATGCAACCACCACCATGTTTTCTAGAGTCAGAATAGAAATATCCTTTATGGGCCAACAATTATCAAGTTTATTTGTGAAAAAATATTTCAGCAACAAGGAAGTCCAAAATGCTTTTTTGTAATAAAAAACAACAGAAACAAATTATGAAGTAAATTTTAAACTTGATAGAACAAAATGATGACTACAGATTGTTTTTTTAGATTGTTTTGTGCTGAACTGTCAGTAATTCCAAGAAAATATGCAGAAATGTGAAAAGTTTCTTCTTCAGTGCGAGCGGAGTGTTTCCTGCTGCAGGATGAGAGTCAGCTGCTCGTTCGAGACAAACGCCACCAAATACATTCAGAAAGTCAATTCTCTGTTTTTACAGTGAAAAGGGAACAGGAAGTATGAGGGGGAATCTGCACTGCAAAAACAAAATTTTACCAAGTATTTTGGTTGAGTTTCTAGTGCAAAATGTTTTTCTACACTTAAAATAAAACAAAACTAAACAACACGAAGCTTTACAGCTTTTAGCTCAATAATTCCTTAATATTGATTAAATAAAAATTGTTCTGGTGCCACCAGCAGGTTATGTCATTATAACGTAAAAAAAAGTTTTGTTATGCACATTTTTCAGTAAAACCAGAACTGGGTTGCTAGGTAACGGGTGGGCTTGACTGGGGTTGCTAGGTAACAGGAATAATATCCCAGTGGAACAATAAATTTATTTATTATTATTCAGGAATTATTTACTTAAAACAAGCTCCTGTTTCTTTCTGTAAAGTTAATGGTACGCCAGTTTTGTATAAAAACATTTACTCTAGAAAGTTGAGAAAAATTCCAGGTAAATTGTATTTTTTGCAGCGTGCAGTTATTGGTTAGGTTGTGAACAGCTCATGGAGGTAAAACAGAATCAGGAATCAGAAACTTCTTGTTCTGAAACCTCAGCAGCAAAACACAGTCCAGGTTTGACCTTTGACACGGCGCAGCTTTACAGCAAAAGTCAAAGTACACAAACAACCGAGTCCAAGTGGAAGTCATAAAGCAGATAAGAACTTCATAAGACTCCGCGTGTTTGGATCCAACCTAAGAGCCTGCAGCTTGCTCACGTTAGCTTCCCTAACATCTGGCTACAGCTATCTCATGTTAGCTTCCTTAACGTCTGGCTGCAGCTAGCTCACATTAGCTTCCTGAGTTGTTGGCTGCAGCTAGCTCATGTTAGCTTCCCTAGCGGCTGGCTGCAGCTAGCTCACGTTAGCTTCCTTAACGTCTGGCTGCAGCTAGCTCACATTAGCTTCCTGAGTTGTTGGCTGCAACTAGCTCACGTTAGCTTCCCTAGCATTTCACTGCAGGTATCTCACGTTAGCTTCCATGTTAAAGTCATGTTGCTACTGCTGGAAACCACAAAGAAGAAGACAGAAGTGGGAGGACAATGTTTTTTAATGACTCATTCATATCTGATTTTAATTTTGTTCCTTATTTAATGGAAACTCTAAAATTGTATTTTTAATCTTTAGTGGAATATGAACGTTGGCAACCGAAACACAGATTTAGTTTTGTTGTTTTAGACTTAAAATGTGTTTAATTTAGAAACTTTATTTTTAACTTCATGTTTTCCTGAACAGGATAAAAGCAGCTTCAGAGTTTTTCCAAAGCAGAAGTTAACGAAAGCAGGTTCATCTGCTTTAAAGCATAAACCTGCTTCAATACGCAGCACCTGTCCAGGTGAGTCCAGGTGAGTCCAGGTGAGTCCAGGTGAGTCCAGGTGAGTCCAGGTGAGTCCAGGTCACGGCGGCGACTGAACGTTTCTGTTTCTATAAGTCGACTGGAAAAGGCTGAACATGATCTGGTTTTTAACAATCAGGAAAATAAACAGGTTTATTTGTGTTAACATAGAACTTTAGGCCTGAAACGATTAAATGATTATTGAAATAATCGTCATCTAATTTAGTAATAAGTTAATCATTAACTGGACTAAATTAGATGACGATCATTTCAATAATCATTTAATCATGATTAATCATGATAATCATGTTTGTAAAAATATAGAAAACTGTTAAAGTTTCTTTAAAAGTCTTGAGACTGCAATCAGAGAAAAGTTTTTCTATGAACTCTGAAATCAAGGTTTTCATTTTATTTCCTCTTCACTGTCACTTTGTCACTTTAGCAGCTTTAACGTGAGAAACATCTAAACACATGAGGGACGGCAGAGCAGCTTAGTTCTGTTTTAATGTTGCACACTAATCATTTCCCTGTTGCAATGACTTCAAACTTTTAAGTCGATTTAAATAAACCAGATGTTTAAACCGATTGTTTCATCCATTCATGGAGCAGAAAACACATCAGCTACAATCCAACAGGAATCCAAAACTGAAACGTGAGATTTGATTTCGCTCAGCTGTTTTTCTATAATCTGCAGGATTATTTCGCTCAGCTGGTGTCTCCACGCTGCAGGAAGTTGGTGCAGTTTGCTTTAGTTGAACTCTTGAGCGACGGCAGACTCGCTGCTCTCTGGAGGAAATCCGGTAACGATGTGGGAGAATTGCTCCTGATTACAGGGTGGAGGCGGCTCTGCGGTCCGACCTCACTGGAACAGACATCGCTCCTCTTCTTCTTCTGTTTTTTCTGAGTTTAGCTGTTTAGTTTTCAGCTTGGAGAGAATCTAGTTTTCGATGGGCTGCTGAGGACGCTGCAGCTTCCGGCTGGAGACGGTTGTGAGGTTTTAATTGTTATAATAAACGTTTAAGTATGATCAACCTGAATCATAGATTTTACCTGTTTATAATAACAGCTAATAGCTGGTTTAGCTTCCTGCTAACGGATGATGACAGCAGGAACCAGACCTTTGACTGGGCCGTACCTTACCTGTTTATCCTCCCATATTATTGACCCAGTGCTCCCAGTGTCTCCAGTGTTCCCACTATTCACAGTGTTCCCAGTGTTCCCAGTGCTCCCAGTGTGCCCAGTGCTCCCAGTGTCTCCAGTGTGCCCAGTGCTCCCAGTGTCT